GCCATCACTCTCAACATCTCCTTAAAGAACCCATCTGACTTAGATACTGCAGTACACTCTTTCACAAATATCATTCAAGATACTGCACTCGACGCTTCTAAAAACAACTCTTCCACCACTCACACAACCAATGTCTTACCCTCACACATAACACAACTCATTACAGAAAAGCGTCGAGCCCACCGTATATGGCAAAGAACCCACTTGCCGAGTGATAAAAGGCATTTCAACACTCTCAATAACTCCTTAAAAAATATTCTTCGAAAATACAATTCTGATAAATTTCACAACTAAATGGAATCTCTCTTTGGAAAACCACTAAAAATATCCTAAAGGAAAACACTAAAATACCTCCCCTACGGTGCCCAGACAACTCCATAAGTTAGGTTCAAATCTTGACAAAGCAAACTTATTCGTATCAGATCTTGAAAGCAGATTCTCACCACATCCAAACTTACTCACTAGAAGCCACACTCTAATATTGAAACCTCACTTCTAAAAACTCCCTCAATGTGCCTCCCTACAAAATATACCTCCCATTCTGAAGTCCTAAATATCATCAAAAACTTAAAAAATAATAAATCCCCGGGTCACAACTAACCAATACTATTGCTGAATACCTGCCTAAGAAAGCAATGTTATTTCTCACTTATATTTACTATAGCATTCTTCGTCTATCCTATATCCTTCCCACCTAGAAACACTCAGTTACCATCCTAATCTACAAGCCAGGAAAACCTCCTGATCAACCCTCCTCATATAGGAGTATTAGCTTCCTTCCTACTTTCTCAAAAATTTTAGAAAAAATCATACTAAAAAGTATTTGTCCGATTCTTAACGAGAAACAAATTATTCCAAACGCTCAATTCGGCTTTAGGAGTGAGCACTCCTCCTTCCACCAACTACACAGACTAGTCGATACTATTTCCTCATCTCTTTTCGGGTCTGGTATGAAGGGCTGCTGTTCAAATTATTATTTTTACCCACTCTGTTATTCCTCTTACTCAAATCTTTCCTATCAAACCGTACTTTTTCATTAAGATGTGAAGATGAAACTTCTGACTCACATCCTATTAAAGCAGGCGTCCCTCAAGGCAGTTTTCTTTCCCCAACTCTCTATAATATATATAGGTACAGCAGATCCAAAATCTACCAAAATCTATCAACACTACTCTAGCTACCTTCGCCGATGACACAGCCATAATATCACCACTACAAACAACCTCCAAGACCACCTAACACAACTACAATATTGGTTCAGCTTATGGAAAATTAAAATTAATGAAAATAAATCCACTCTCATCACTTTTACCCTCAGGCCTACAACAATTCCTCCAGTTTACATTAATAACCAAACAATTCCCATTTTCGATTCCGTTAAATACCTGGAACTCCTTCTTGACAAAAAACTAACTTGGGCTAATCACATCAAAGCTAAAAGAACTTCCCTTAATCTCATTCTTCACAAATTAAGACCTTTTCTACGATCCAAAATCTCTTTAAATAATAAAACACTAATATATAAACAAACATTACGTCCAGCTATGACTTACGGAATTCAACTGTGGGGTACCACTAAAAACTCAAACCTAATCAAATTCCAAGCGTTCCAATCAATATCCCTGCGTGTAATCTCTAATGCTCCCTGGTACGTCAGCAACCACACCCCACATCATGATCTCAACATACCATCAATATCCACACTAACCATCCAAATCCACTCATATCTAAACTTTCTTCTTGTACAATTCCTGATAACCCCCCTCGTCGACTCAAACGCAAATTGCAGCGTGATTTATTAAAAAATGCCTAGTGCTACTTATTGTAAAGTTACCTCCCCCCTAAGTTTAAATTGGAAGTAGTGTCACTGGACACTCCTTCCCTCAAGATTTTCATGTCCTGTAATATTCTTCATCATATTTACTTATTATATAAATTGTATATAGATTGTAAATTTTCTTAAATAAATAAAAAAAAAAAAGTTTACTATGTCATAGCCTATTATTATCAAAAGATATTCGACTATATAATTAATGCATATCTATATTTGCATTATCTATTGTAATATAGTTTATCACCAAAAAGCAAAGTATGCTTTATACAATTTTTAAATAAGAACATAATATGAATCATTAGAAGTTTATACTTACAAAATAGTTTTTTAAAACGTACATAATCATCATCAGTTTCAAAAAGGATATCTATAAAAAGATAAATTATATTGTACCTTAATCTCAGTTTGTCACTGTTTTTATATAAAATCTAAATATAAAATTTACTGCGCATACTTCCGTCCTTAATTACAATATACAAATATATAGTAATAAATATTACCTATTGAACACTGTTAAAATTGCCCTTGAGATTGAGAATATAAACTGAGGCCCGAGCTCCCAACAATAAGTATTATAAAAATATAGGTATGTAACAGAACTACAGATATAAATGTTAAAGGCTTGTGGAGCATATAATATTGTTCTGATTATGTATAATATTTTATTAAGGCTGCATACGAACTAAGTCCCAGTATAACCTTTTATGACGAATTGAGTCCCGGGTTGTTTTAGGGTATAAACCAATTGAGTCCAGTGAAATTGTAGGTATAATACTAATTGAGTCCCGTTAAAATATTATAATATAAAATAATTATTATATTAATATTTTAATTAATATATAACAAATATATATTTTTTCGTTTGATACAATATATATTGATGGGACTTTTAAAAGCTGCCCAATACAGTTTACTCAACTGTTTACTATCCACGGAATGAAAATAATAACTACATACTATTGGTATTTTGTTTACTTTTGGACAAAGTTTCAATAATATAATATGTATAATGTATACATAGGTATATCCGAGTGGAGCGGCTTTTGACGCGCGGCATAATTTTCGCTGTGTCTGGATGTTCATTTTATATTTTACTCAAAATAATCCTTGGACTATTAAGTAAACTTAATTAGTTTCCTAACCTCGGACTCAATTAGTATATGTCTCGTTTGTACCCGGGACTCAATTAGTATATTAATTTTTTCCCGTTCAGGTACAGGGACTCAATTAGTACACAGCGTTCATTAATAATAATAATAATAATAATAATTGGGATTGATGCACTTAATATCTGTGTTGTATAATGTTTAAATCATAGTGTGTAGGAATTGGCACGACGCTCCAACATTAAATTTGGTAATGCATGGCTGTTTTGACAAAAACGTATACTTTACTTTTTGTTTGATTCATTTTCAACCAAGTAAAAAGTTGAATAATAATTAATATTTTACACTTTCAGTATTAATGTTAGATTTATAATATACCTATTCAAAAATCATTCTCACTTTAATTTTAGATTCTGAGCGGAGCGGTGAATGTATTTATTTTACTATGATGTGTGTTATTTATTTTTATTTTTTTGTTTCTGTCATCACAATTTCTTGCAGTAAAAGTAAGTTTTCTTAAATTGCACCGTTTTTGGCAGAAAAGTGAATTTTGTTGGTGCCTCTGGGAGGTCAAAATTTAAAATTTCCAATAGTTTTCAAAAGCAACAGGAAAAACAAACAAAACATTAAGGTAAAACGGGAATTCTTACGTAAAAACTATTTTTCGAAAAACCCGATTTTGGTTTTAAGTGTACCTAACTCCATCAAAAATTACCGTAGATACATGCATTTTTTACTAAATATTTGTGTGATAAATTTAAATTCACCATACAATTTTTGATTTGTGTTGAACTATTTATAGGAATATTAAATTTTCGTTTATGATTTGTTTTTTGTAAAGTCAAGTCAATAAAAAAATTTTCGTAGGGTCAAAAACTTTAAAATGTAACGGAAGGTTCCTTAAAAGTTGTTGTTAATGGAAATTAAAAAAAAAAAAGCTGAGTATAATACCTATTTTTTATGAGCGTTTAAACATAATTTTGACGAAATTCGTAATAATAATGAAAATTAGCAAATTATATTTAGTTAGAAATTATTGAGAATATTTCTATTTATATCTAAGATCTAAAAATGTATTACTAGATTCCTTAAAAGTTTGCCTAAATTTATAAAAAAAAAATTCTACCAGAAATTCAAATAAAATTTTTATGAGGGTTTGTAGTTGAAATTTTTACAACATTTTATTTTCACTCAATTTCTCTTGTAGTGATTTTCTTTTTTTGTTGTAATTCCAAAACGAATTACTGTAGCCTTGAAATTTTTTTTATTTTAAAAGCATTGAGAGTTCAACTTTCGACAATATTTATCAAGTTGAAAATTTAAAATTATTTTGTAGTTAAAAATGTATAAAATGATCAATTTTTATAGTTAAGGGTTGAAAGTTTAAAACAAGGTTCCACATAAGCATTTTTTTCCATAACTAATAAATCTAAAAAATATATGAATACAGTTATTTTTTGCAGACATCTTGAGTTCAAATTTGGACGAAATTGCATATCAACAAAAAGAATAATGGTTATCATTTTGTGGTGATTCGGTTCCAAAATCCGCGATTAAGGTCGAAAAGTGAATCGGCTGAATAGTGTAGAATACGTAAACGGTTGAGAACCGTCTAAGAAATACAACAAGGTCACAAGGATACATCTGATTTTATATTATTTAATTTTGAATTAAGTCCATCTTAAATGATGCAGGATTATAATAGTACTAGCTGAATTACCCGGCGTTGCCCGGAAAAAACTCCTTTTAGGTGTAAAACGCTGTGAAAGCAATGTCTTTTTAAGTGTAAATTATATAATATTTTTAAGTGTAGACACATCAGTCTAGAATTGAAGTAGTGTTGTTTGGACACCCTCTTCCTTGAAGCCGTCCAATTTTCGTAAATTAATAACCATATTAATTATTGTATAGTTTAATAGCTGGTTTACCGTCTCAGCCCGGGAGGTATTCAACTATTTTATATAAAAAAAAAATGAGGATGAAAAAACTACTATTTTCTTATATTGTACCTTTTTTATTTATTAATTTATATATTATCTCTGTACATATTTCTATTAAGGTTATAATACTTCTTTGTAAACAATATTTTTTGTCCTTTGGTGATTCGCATACACATATAAAAGTTTTGCCGAACTGACACGGGAGCAAGCAACATAAAATTGTCCGCGGGTAAAACAGGGATTCGTAATGTCAAGGCCTGCAACGTTCAGTGTCTGTCTCTGTGCCTTATTGACAGACATAGCAAAACAAAGCTTTATAGGAAATTGTACTCGTTTAAATTCGAACGGGTATTCATTAGTAATCATCGGTATCCTGGGAATGAAAACAACTTGACCTTGGGCTGAGCCAGAAAGAACTTTAGCTTCAATCACGTTCCTCTGCATAGTTACTATCCGTAATCTAGTACCATTGCATAATTTTGGTGCGTTTAAATTCCTCATATGTATTATTGGAGCTCCAATTTTCAAGTCCAGTTTATGCGGAGGAAGTCCTGATGGATTCAAAAAATTCGAAAATTCAATTGGAATATCAATAGCATTATCTTGATCAGTCAGATTATCAATAGAAAGATAAGTTTGTTGATGGGCCTTAAAAATTGATAGAATTTTATTATTTATACTTGTAACAGAATCGTTTTCAGGTGCTAAAATCGCTCGTTCGCGTAACCAATCATCCGTTTTTTCTAAAATTTGGGTGACTTGCAGATAAACATTAGGTATACATTGGCATTATGGTTGTTGTCGTTATTGTCAACCATATTTTGATCGTGCATTTGCGAATGATTGTTTCTAGATAAGCGCATCCTTTTGGCACTATTTGTGAAGTGGCCAAGGTTTGATTTCCTTTTCTTGGGCATAATGTGACCAATAAAAAAAAATCCTTCAAAATTAACAACTTATCCAAATCCTAATTGATTAATAACGAACTTAATTAAAACTGCATGACAATTGGATAAGAATATTCGAAGCCAAACCGTAACAAATATTTCCTCTTTTGCTTGATTTCAGTTTTATATATATAGATAATCATAATATGTACATGAGGTTAATATCAAATGTATACTTATAATTTTATTAGAAGCATTCATTAATCGAAAAATGCAGACAAAATATCACAGCTTATATCTAAGATGTTTTGTTTCAGGCAGTGATGAGTCATGAGTGGGATGAGTTAAATTGGCGGAGTACTAAAAGGCCAGGGGCACGGGCCCCAAAGAGATTCGGTAGTCGAGCTAAGTTGATCAAGTAGGTTAGTGACAAGTGCGTAACTGGTCAGAACTTCCATACTAAATTTGTATTATTTTATTGAGACTCTCAAACACTTTGGTACTTCTAATTCATAAGTGTTTATAATATTATATTAAATAAATACTCATTCATACGATTAACCAAAATTGTGTTCCTATGTCTAACGTAACATGAACAGTTTACTTACTCGAAAAATAATCATATGTTATAATATTTCCTATATTGTGATAGCCGATGTCTATGAACTGACATTAGTACATTAATATCATTAATACATATTTGATTATATGACTAATGCGTATTTAAATAACTGATTATATTATCTATACATAAGAACAGGTCGCATTACATAATGTTAAAATATAACACTGTAAGTAATTCGTAATGTTCGCTTATTCTTACTGAACGAGTTTCTTACAGTTGTCATATCCACATCTTCATCTTCGTAAAGATTTCGATCTATAAAAATAAACATTTTTTTACACATAAATCTCAGGTTATTATTGTTTTTATATTTCAATCTAATACATTACACATACTTGTGTGGTATAATTACATCATACAAACGCACACTTATACACACATTTTTGATTTTCGACTGATGAAATTAAGTTTAATACTTGTAGATATGGCGCATACAGATGCAAAATGTACAAGAGTGTTGGCCTAAAATGCATAACGATGCAAGTCAATTCGATACTTGAGAACATGAACTTTGTTTTGAAAGTAATATTTTTTAATATTTTTTAGTGTAGTTGAATGACTTCAGAGTGATTACTGGCGGGGAGGTGCTTGTAATCACTCTAACCAATCACGTCTGGATATTAGGTGTTCGGGTCTCTACTCTATAAGCCTAATCTTCAATCCTCTTCTTCTATCGACAAGATAGCTTTGACCCCGTTTACCATCGCTTGCGTGCGCAAAACGTCCAGGAAAGGAAATGGGCACACGCTCTTAAGGTCGAATTGATGTAACTCTTGAGGTTTCGTTATCGGCATGAAAGTTCGCAGTTTCTACTTCGTCAGGTACCGCTACCTCATAACTCAATAAGTCAATGATATTCAACAAGGATTCAAAATTAATAAATCGTCGAACTCTAAGAGAAAGAATTGTTATAGATCGCAACTCAATAGAACACATGTTAAAGATATACATAGTAAGTCTGCAATTTCAACAGAAATTGGTTAAAACTATTGTTGTAACTTTTGAACAGTCGACTCAAATCGGAAATACAAAGTAATATACTCAACAGCATATCAAAAATCAATGAACAATTAACTTGAAAAAGTAACTAAAAATATTATCACACATATCAGGAACATGAAACTCAAACATAGGTATTGAAGATTCAAAAATGATTTTCAAAATCGAGACTATTAGTCAATTCTTTACAAGTCAGTTTCGTTTTCTAAACTAAAACTAATAAAAAGTATTATCAACATTGGCTTAATAACAGCTTTTGGGCCATAAATATAGAAATTCCTGAGAAACCAACAGTAATATAGTATACTTCTCCATATTATGTTCATAATAACACATAACCATAATTAACGAGTAGACATTAAACGTAACAACAAGCAGTAATGTAAAATTATCTGAATGTTAGTAATATAATTACAATTTTTTAAGTTATCGGTCAAGTGTTAAAGTCGATTTGGCGAATCTGAACTTACAGTTAGTGTTGAGAATTATGTAGTTAAAAAATTACTTATATCAATGTTAATTTATTGTGAATTAGTTGAATCTCTTCTAATCATTATAACATATAAATAGCACTATATTAATTAACTATAAATAAGTAGTAGGTAATGTATATTTACAGAATCTCTCCAATAAAATGTCAAAGGTTTCTACTTCACCATCTGGTAAAGGTCCTAGAACTATGAAAGATAAAAAAAATCATGGATAAATAAATTTCAGTTTGTTACTGTCTTTATTATTTCAATCAAATCAAATAGACATACAATATGTGTACTTAATAACAACATACAATTTGTATACTAAAAGTTCATCATAAGATTATTCATTTAGTCGAAGGCAATAAAACATATCACTACATTTTCTAAAATGTTTTCATTATCCAACCAAAATATTTAACTCGAATAATGTAGTGTAGAATCACAATGGCTGCCAGATATATCAATAAGTTAAAGAAATTCAATTAGAATTCCAAATTAATTAATAGTCAATATAAAAAAAAATGTAGTTATAGATCATAAATCAATAGCCTCTATGAGTGATATAAACATAAATCAGTGGCAACAACAAATTGATAAAAAATATTGCATTTTGGTCCTTTATTTGTCTGGCTTTCAATCAAGTTAGCTACTTGTCTGACTGATGGCTATACTATTTCGTCACTGTGGACTGTCGCATGACCCATCTGTCAGTGAGCGGCTAGACTGTTCTTAATTTTTTTTTTGCGTGACATATGATAAACAAAAATTAGCAGCTGTGTTCCATACGTAGATACAAACTGCTTATAATAAGTTAAATATCTGATTATGTAATAAAGTTAATCATAAACAATTATTGGTTTTTTATAAGTTAATAAAATTAATATACCTGTTTTATTTCTTCTCAAAAGTCCATGGTCAAAAAATTGCCCTATAAAAGTTTAGATCATAAACAACATCGACTATTAATGTATGTAAATATAATTTTTTGTACATATTATTAGTGTGTTTTTGTAGATCCTTGAATAGTTTAGATTCACAATTATTGGACCCAGTTTGTTCAACCCAACGAATAACGAAAACAGGGATTTGAGTATTTACGATAGATATTTGTAATTGAAGCGGTTGCTATTTTTTCCAGCTTACCGATTAAAACAGTTATATAATACAGAAGTTGTAGAATTTATGTATGTGTCATGTATAAGTATTTTTTTGGTATAGTTTACAGTTGCCATTGCCATTAGATCCTCGGACAATGAAGACTAAAATATATAAAATATATATTTATATATATATTTATATATATTTATATACTACATTCATGTTCAATAATATGATTTGGACAGAAACTTTTCAGAACGCTACATACTAGTTTTAACATTTAATGTCTACTAGACATAGAAATTCCATTTTCTAATGCATCTAATTGTATAAAAAATGTAAATTTTAGCACATACATGACAAAAAAATTATACCGAAATTTAATATTAATTGGGGTATCAGAATAGTTAGCTACGTTATAGACTCTAACTCACTAAATACTGTAATAACATATTTAAGTACAAATATTTGTTATCATAAATTACTAAATAATAAGTTTTCTCAAATATATGTACGAAGAAAATGTATCTTTATATATCATAGTTACTCTACACATTCTTTAAAAGGAATGTTACAATAAGTGCCAGAAACCAAGCACTGTGTTTATTTGATATTGTTATGTACGTTATTACAGTGTATCTAAATACAACATAAAACAGTTATTTTTAAGATCACAACAACATATTTAATAATATTTTAATTCACTCTTATAATTTAAGTTTAAAACATAAATTGGGGATTTCTTGAAGTAAATGAAAACATGTGTTGTACAATAGACACTTGGGTACGACATACTCTAAGTAACATCTTACAATTTGTCATACTGAACAAGTACTTGAACATTATGTAATGAATTATTTTTAATACAACTCTAAAACCAAAATCACAACTTTATAAAATTCCCAATCATACGGTAGAAGAGTGATCACATGAGTGAAGCTCAATATATTGATATGAACAATGCGTTGTGATAGGGGAAGTAAATCATATTACTTACTGTAGCAGTCAATCACTTTTTGAAATTCTAAAAAAGGTATTTGGTAGTACAAGAATGATAGGAATAGATAGAAAAAATAATCATAATATTGATTAGAAATATACAGGGTGTCCCGTGAGGATTTAGCCATTGAGATATCTCCTGAAATAATGGATACATCATTAATCTGGCATTTTTATTACTCTAACGATTTTTAATAATTTTTCTAGTTTTGAGAAAAACTAAATTAATTGGGATGTCCGTTTTACCAAAGTCGTATCTTTGATTATGGTAATAGTAAATAACCCTATCTTAGAATATATGCATATAGACCTTAATCCATAATATTTTAAAGTTTTGATACAATCTTGTATTGTTTTCTGAAAAGGTATGATGAACTTAATGATCTTATTAATCAACAAATTATTGGCTTCTAAAAATTATTCTATTAATAAATTGATTTAAACTTACAATAATATTATAAACACCCTGATGGTGGGACCTTGTCAACAATTCACAGTTTTTCTCAAAACTATAGACAAATTATTAAAGATCATGAAATTAATGAAATTAGAATCTTAAAACGTCAACATTTTCAAAAAAATTTAATTAAATCTACAAAATGACTATCTTTAACTTTTTTTAAAATAATTAATTTAAAAAATGTATTTTTAACTTTTTTACCAAAACATTAAACACAATTAAAACATGAATAATTTGTTATGCTCTTAAGTCTTTTACTCTTAATAAAAACAGAGAATAAAACTCGATTAAAACGGTGGCCACAGAAGTCCTAGGATTTGAAGAAAGAAAAAGGAGGAAAAAATGGTTTGATGAACAATGTAAAAAAGACCCA